TATTGGGGTGGTGGAGCCTGGCCTCGGAGAAAGTCATTCACCCCATTTCAGGAGGTGACACCGCTCCGGCTGATTTATCCTGGTGGGACAGGCACAGGGCAGGGCCTCCTTGCTGGTGCTGGGACTTTCTGCCCGGCTCCGCGGTCCGGGGAGCGCCCTTTTGGAGATTAAGATCTGTGGATTTATTTTTTTTAAGTTGTTTTTTTATTTTGAGTACAGTGAGATTAGAGAATGCTCAGCATAAACCCAGCCCCTGGCGGGATTGCTGGAGGGTAGGAGGCTTCATCAAGGCAAAGGATGAAGCTTCTTAATTATGGGGGTTGCAATAAGCTCCGCTTTTCATCTCTCACTAATCAGACCCCAGCAAGGCCAGTGAGCAGAGAGGGGCTGGGGCCCGGGAGCCAGCGAGTGTGCGGGGCAGGTGCTGGGGAGGACGGGCAGCGCCGGACGAGAACCTTGATGTTTGTTCCATGTGTGCAAACTTGGCTTTTCATAGAGGACCTGTGTGTGTGCGGGTGTGTGTACATGCATGTGTGCATCCTACAAACAGAAGATAGAGATCTCTCTGCACTCACACACTAGGCGGGATACGAGGCACTGGTTTGATCGGCCTCTGGTCGGGGTCTGCATCTGTTGCTTCTTGCGCCTGAAAGCGCCTTTTCATGCCCCGCTCACCAGTCTGTCCCTGCCTGCAGCCTGAGCTATTGACTGGGCCTCAATGCCCGCCTTGTGTCAGCTCCTACAGCAGACAGGCTGGTGCTGACGGGTGGCCCAAGCAGGGGCCTCTGAGTACCCGTGAGGATGTCACAGATGCCTGCTGTGTCTGAGGCCCACAGCCCGGTGTGCAGCCCTAACACAACCCCAAATACCCCAGCAGTGTGACTTGCTGTTGGCGTGGGTCTCTAGTGTCCTCTGTCCTCCAACCGGCGAGACACAGCCACATGGCTGGTCTGAGATATGGGGTGAGGGGGAGGTTGGCTGCAGTGTCAGTGAGCCGTAGACAGAAGGTCCTAGGCCCCCTTGATTTCCGTGGGAGCTGGGGACAGAGCTGAGAATGTGGCAGATGAACCCCTGAGCCTGAGAAATGCATGTTTGTGGGCTAGAGTGGCGAGGTGCAGAGGGAAGCAAATGCTGTGCAGGTTCCAAGGCCCGGACGGAAGAGCTGAGGCCACATCTTGGAGGTGACTAGAGAAGAGGAAAACTTTCCGGAGTAGGAACTCCAGGTGCATGGACCTGTGCCGTTCCTGTCCTTTCCAGGGCCCACAGGCGTTATCATTCACCGCGGCACCTTTTCCCAGGGCCACCTCAGCAGGTATTCCGAGTAGTCACTGTCATCAGTCCCCAGTGCCGTGGGAGAAGAATCCTCCCAAGGCCCTCAGAATCCAACGGTTGCCACCCCTGCACTTGTTCACATTACAGAGAAGGAAGGGCTTCCTGGGAAAGACAGGACAGACAGAGAACAGGCGCTGGGTAGGTGGGCCAGATTCTGGGGCCCAGACTTGCGGCACAGCCAGGAGGGCCGGGCAGGGAGTGGAGGGGAAGCAAGTGGGTAGGATCCTTGCACAGATGGACCATCAGGTCATAACCACTGGTCCCAGGGCAGAGGCCATCTGCCCCATTTATGTGTGTTGGCTAATTCAGCGGCTGGTGTCTGGCCAGGTGAAGGCTGTCCAGGCAGCTGGGCTGGACTCCACAGGTGCTGGCACTGGGGATGGTGGGCCACAGGCAGAAGACAACGGTCCTCCTAGGGTGTCACCAGCTCCAAGGTCTGCTGTCTCTGCAGGGCCAGCCCAGGCCAGCACAGAAGCCCTGAGTTAGGAGCAAGGATCCTTTGCTGCGACACCAGTGTCTCTTGCGACACTGATGGCAGGCCCAGAAGGTCCTCCAGTGTTAGAGTCAGCGGGTGCCCACAAAGGCTAAAGACAAAGACTGACCAGACTAGGCCTTCCTTAAGACTTGACCTTCAGGGGAAGGAGCAGAGCTTTCCAAACTGATCTCACAAAGATCTCTGCGCACCCGGCAGCATCGCTAGAAAGAGGTCTGGGGTCCGCTGGGGCCTGAGGTGTGCCGGGACTGTTTAGCACAAGGACATGGCATGGCCCTTGTTCACTCATGGGGACCTCTGTCTGTGGGGCTTCTGCTGATATCCAGTTACACTGGTGTCCTGTAGAAGCCTCCCGAAGCGTTCCCTGTGTCCATTGCTGCTCCTCGGGGCAAGGTCATGGCTGCCTGCTTCCTCTGGCATCACCTGCTTGCTCCCTCTGACGTCTCCTGCTCCGTCCAGCCTCTTCATGCTTACTTGCGCTTTCGCCCTGCCTGTAGCACCCTTCCTCTGCCCCTGCCTTTCAGTACTTGAGTCCCACTCACTCCGCAGCATTTCACAGCCCTAACCCACATGGGGTCTTTAGTCACTTGCTGCTTTGGGTCCCCTCCGGTGGCCCGCAGCCAAGGACATGTTATGTCTTTGTGTCTGGGAGTGCGCGTCTGTTCATTTCAGGCTGTGCCAGTGTGTGGCCCCACTGTGCCCTGTGGACAGGTCGGAGACGCCTCTTCTGGACACCTCGCCCCCCTCCAGTCCCATGAATGCTGTCAGGGAAGAATTTTCTCCCCTTCTGAACTTTGCTCCCTTCCTTTGCTCTTAGGATGGAGGGAGATGGGCCAAGAGAAAGGCAACCAGCTGGTTTGTTTACGTGTTCTCTTCCTTTGAAATGACCCTGGGTGTTTTCTTATTTAGTTATTAATGCCCTAAATCAGACGGTGCCTCATCCATTAGCCTCTGTCACTCTAGATGGAGCGGGCTGAATAACCGCTGTGGCAGGATTGATTTTCCCTCAGGTAGCTCATAAACATACGTCTTTGGGGTCCATCCTCCGTGAGCCCGGGGAAGTCTCTTTACTGTGAGCAGGGAGGAGTTGACCCCATGGGTGACAGTTCCTTTCTGGCTGCCTTTCTGTCCTCCTGAATGAAATGTCTGAGACCAGCTGAAATCCTTTCCTAAAACTCAGTTTCTGAAAGGGTACCCTGGGGCTTGACCCTATCTTCCTTAAGACTTGACCTTCGGGGAAGGAGCAGAGCTCTCCAAACTGATCTCACAAAGATCTCTGTGTACCTGGCAGCATCACTAGGAAGAGGCCTGGGGTCTCCTGGGGCTTGACCCTGTCCCTGGGGTGCTCATGACAGTGTCAGAAAAACAAAGCAGACATGGGGGACAGCGTCAGAGCAGGTGGCCCTGACTGGAAGGTGTGGCCCAAGCTGTGAGCCCTCTGCTGTAGCCACCAGGGACACAAAACAGGGTGACAAGGTGACCGGATATGCAGAGTTGAAGGCACAGGCAGCGGGACTTTGAGAGGAGGAGCCACCTCCCTCCTGATGACTGGCTGTGGGGACGGAGCCCTGGGCCTTGTCCATGCTGGGCCAGTGCTCTGCCACCGGGTGGAACCTCGAGGGATGGGGCGGGGCGGGGGTGGGCGAGCCGGGACGAGGGTACCCATGCCGCTCGCTCGGACCCTGCAAACCGCGAAGGAACACAGGAATCCCTCGTCTCGTGCCTAGCAGATTCGAAGAATGCTTTTGAAATCTGGCTACGTCTGCATCTAGCTAGATGATCTCCAGTTTTCAGATAGTAAAACCTCATTAATCTTTAATCTGGACCCCCACGGTTAGACAGAATTTGTGACAATTTGTTAATTTTTGAAGGAGCTACTGAGAGAGAGTTTAACAAGGAAATTATTGGGGTGGGAGGGAGAGCGTTTAACCTTTCGGAAGAAAGGATATCCTTATATTTGTGCCCTGGGCAGAAATAGGGGTGGGTGCAAAATATACAGCATTCTTCTCTGTCCCCCAGAGAGGATAACTGTTCCTCACCTGGAAACTCAGGGCTGATGGGCTTGGTCCCCAACCATTTCAAGCCTGGGGCACCTTTGCTGATGTTGAAATATTTTCTGTTACACCATTATCCCCAGTTATTAGAAAGTGCATTTTCTGGGTATGTTGCTGGTTGAGAAGAAAAGTTATTTTGAATTCGGGTAATCTTTTAAATAGCATCATGATAGCATCAGTGGACACATGAAAAATTGCACCATCTTGACAAGTCACGGTGTTCATTCAGTTTACAGATAGATGACCCTGGGACTCCTGAACCTCAGCTCCCCCGGGGGAGGCCCCAAGGTTGGTGACCTGCAGGGGGAAGCCCATGGGCCAGAGTCTGCTCTGTAGGCCTGGGGCCCATGGAGCCCTGGGTCGCTGGAACAGGGAGGAGCCGCCAAGGCTCTCCTCAGCCTCTCCCACTGGATGGACTCTGCTTCCTTGAGGAGCCTACACTACTGCCGCAGGCAGGGACCAAGGGCTCGACACCTGTATGGGCCCTCTGAACACCTGCCACATGCGGTTATTCTGAGGGCACGCATCCCACTCTGCGAGCTGCTCTCTTACAGCCCCTTCCTGAGCTCAGCCCCTCATCCCGTGGCGGGAATGAGGTGGGTGACCCTCAGTGGCTGCATGACTTCAGGTGACAGGCAGGAGCAGGGGAGGAAGCCATGGGCAAGGCTTCTCAGAGGTGCCAGAGAGGGATGGGGAGGATGCTGCCTTTACAGCAGGTTGGGTCCAGGTTTCTCGGGTCAGGGATGGGCACGGGGCCTCAGGACACCCTGAAACTATGGCCAGATTATTGCATATGGGCATTTTCCTGGGGAGACGGCCTGTAGCTTTCTTTCAATTCTTGAAGCCATCCCTGAGCTAAAAACCATCTGGAACTCCCGGCCTGGAATTTGGACTTTTCCCTGACTCAGGTTTCCTGCTCTCTGGTGGCTGGGAACCCGTGAGCTGTTGCAGTGTTAGTCGAAGTCCACAAGTGTGAAATATCAAATGCTCATTACGCTGTGGTGATGGGAACTCCGCTTAGCGGGCCTGTTCCCCCACTTCATGGGAGAAGGCTCAGTGCCAAACAGATGCCAGGACACATGGCTGAATAATGATGCTCTTCCCCTCTCTCTTCCGCACAGGGCCCCCATGGCGCTCCCTGTGCCTGGCCTGACTGTCCTCCTCCTCCTGGGAACCACCCTCACCCTGAACCCTGAGGACCCCAATGTGTGCAGCCACTGGGAGAGGTAAGACATGGGACTCAGCTGGGGCTCTGCCTGGGCGTGCAGTATGGGCACAGAAGCAGTCGGGAGAAGCAGCAGCTGTCCATAAGGGCCTGTGATCCAGCGTGGGGAGAGCTGAGATGCTGAGGCAGGGCTGAGCCACGTGGATTCACCGAGATGCGGTGCTGTGGAAGGTGGGGTGGGGAGCTTGCAGAACTGCAGTGACGGCATGCTGCCCTGTGCCTCCCGTGTTTGCAGGCCCACCCATTTTACAAATGTGGACACTGAGGCCCAGAGGAGCCCAATCCCTGTCCACAGCCAGCTGGGGTGCAGCAAGCAGGGCATCGTGGACTGTGGTCTCCAGGACTGGTACCCATGTGATGAGGAGGATGGGCCAAGGCTCTGCTCCTCTGGTCCGGTGGGGCAGAAGGCTGCCGGGAAGGGTGATGGAGGCCACAGCAGAGAGCAGGTGGCATTTTGGCTGCAGTACCACCTCCTGGGTCCCTGCAGATGGTCTGACTTTGAAATACAAGGTTAAAGTATTGATTTTGGTGAGCAGAAAGACAGTGACCAGAGACCCAATCAGGAAAAACAGAATTAAACCCTGGAATTGATTGGCCAAGCTGACCAGGACGACTCTGCCACTTAGATGCTAATAAATCAAATGAATAAAATTACGACGAAGGCCCCATGCAGGAGGCTGATGGGAGAGGAAGAAGGTGCATCAGAGTCCGTGCTCCAAGTGTGGGAGGCTGCGTGTCCGGCAGAGGAGGGCTTCCCATCTGCAGTAGCCCGGACAGTTGTGCACTGGGAAGCAGGGTTCAGTGCCCACAGCAGTGTCATCTCTAGTGACCGGATGCTCTGGAGGAGCCTGAGAAAAACTGGTGACTCGGAGAGATGCAGATCTGCGATGAGAAGACTGGTGACCTCCGGTCTGGATCTTTCCACCTGCTGGCTGTGTGACTTAGAGGAAGCATCTGAACCCCGCTGAGCCTATGTCCAGCCCTGGAAGTCGGAAGGAAAATTATTACTTCACAAGTGGGCTGGAGGATCAGGGTCACCAGTGTCACGGAAGCACTTTGAAGACCATAAATCTCAGTCAGGGTTTTTTTTTTTTTTTTTTTTTTTTTTCCTGACAACCCCAGCTGCGGGAGTCAGCACAGATTTCTGTGTGTTTCAGTCTTACTGCGGCAGTGTTCCTGGGGTCCTGGCCCCAGAGGTTCTGACTCAGTATTGCATTTGGTATAGGCTTTGCCCAATTCTGGGGTTCCTCAGGCCCCTTGTGCCTCCTGGTTCAGGCAGATTCACACTTTATTTGCCAGTGGGTCAATGAGGTATGGTGCTACCTGCCCCTGTCTGTGTGGCAGCCTGGCCCTAGAGTGTCCCTGGTCACTTCTGCCTGTCTCCAGGCTCCAGCCTGGTCCCTCTCCTGCAGGGAGCCTTTCTTCTCTGGGTCCCTTTTGTACCCTGGAGTCACAGCCTCTGTAGGAGGACAGGGAGGGAAGCAACAGTGTCACTGCAGCCTGGGGCGTCTCTGGCTTCTCCTGCTCCAGGGAGGAAGCCATGCCGATGACGTCAGGGTGCCCAGCCCACCCCACCCCATTCCTTGGAGACCACTTAGTGAGAATTTCCTGGCTGGATTAGCACCTCCACAGGCTCCTCACTCATTATGCCCCTCCACCTTAAACCCAGCATTTGGTGGGGATTTCCCCTGGCTGGCGAAGCCTGGCCTGACAAGATTAATGGGGCCCTTCATTAGCACGACGGCAAATGAGCAGTGTTAAAGCACCCAGCCATGAAACCGGGGCATGTGCTTCGGAGCATGGATTTGGACTGGGTACAAGGTCTCAGTGCCAGGCTGGCTCCGCTCAGGGCATCCTGAAGAGCTGTGTCTGTCCCCAAGACCACCCAAACCTTCTTCGGTCCTGGGAGGGGGCTGAACCCCAAGTGCTTAACAAAGGGGAGGATCCGTTCTGCTCCCTCTCTTCTCTCCCGTGGTCGAGGAGGAAGTAGCCATCGGTGCCTAGCACGGAAGGTAAACTGTTGGCTGCTGTGTGGTGGTGAGGGCCAGCATCTGGTAAACACTTGCTGTGTACCTGGTAAGCACTTAACCTGGACCACCCGGTTTGTCTTCTGTTACTGCTCTCCTGGAATCCTCATAGTAATCACATGAATTCTCTCATAATATTTATCGTAGATTTACAGGCAGAGCTTACAGGAGCTAAATAACGTGTCTTAGGACAGGCTAACAAGCCCCAGGCTTCAAGCATGGCCCAAGTCTCTGGGTCCCAGAGCTGGGCCTCTCTGACCACTTCATTCTCCTGCCTCTGAGCGAGGTGTTTGGGAGACACTGCCGAGTGCCTTGGACTTTGAGAGCTGAAGAGGCCCATGGGGAGGGTGTTGCTCTGCCTCAGTTTCCCTAAACCTGGAGAGAAACAGGGCTCTGAGCCACATCTCTGATGGGCTGGCTGCTGGGGACACTAAGTCCTCCGTCCAGCCTCAGGGAGTCAGAGCAACTTCCCTCCCACCTGGGTCCCTAGCAGTGCTGACAGCTACTGGCCTTCTGCTTGGTTCTGGACCTTTGACTTTCCAGGCCTCCAGGAGCCTCCTGGTGAGGACCTGCCTGTGCCCAGCCACCTTATAAGTGAGGCTGACAGTTTCCTCAGGCAAAGCAGATGGGCTTTTATAGCCTGGACCCAGCCATCTGGCCCAGACCAGGGCACCTTCTGGGAACAGCACTGAATAACAATACTAACTGACTTCAAAATTAATTCCCGTGATCTCAGCTGAGGTGCTCTACAGCCTGCCTGGGGCAAACACACGCTCTAGCAGCCAGGCCTCTGTGCCATTCTGTGCCACTCTGCCAGGGCAGTGGGGAGAAAGGCTGATTCTGGTGGAGCTGAGATCTGCTTTCCTGTGGCTTCCACCTGCCAGCCAGGGTCATAGAAAATAGGGAGATGACAAAATCTGTCTTCTAATCAGGAGGTCAAGGTGCAGGTGCTCCGCGTACCCCTACTATGCTAGAGGCAGAATAGACCAGATTGTGGCTGGGGGACTTGGGGATGTCACTTACACTGTCCTGTGCTTCACTTCCTCATCGGTAAAGTGAGAATCACAATCCCACTTCCGCCCTAAGATTGCCTGAGAGCGCAAGGGTGTTAAAATGTTTAACATAGAGCACCAGTGAGTATCAACAGTTATTGACCCCAGCTGTGGGACCCGAGCAAGCTGCCGCTCTGAGCCTCAGTCTCTTCATCTGTAAAAGGGGGCCACTTGCTTCCTAGGGTAGCTGGGACAAGAGGCGTGTGCCACAGCGCCTTGCTAACGTAAAGTGTTTAAAAACATCTTGGCTCTGCCTTTCCGAACCAACACAGAGTCAAGGTGACCCTTCCTTAACTCTTTCTTTGATGAATGAACAAATGAACTAGAATTTCAGGGTCCGGCCTGGTGGGGTGGGGTTCACACCAGAAGGCCTGGGGCTGTGGGCCGGGTGAGCTGAGCAAGGGACACATCCTGACCGTCAGCTCAGTGGCTTCATCTCCCTCCTGCTTCTCAGCTACGCCGTCACTGTCCAGGAGTCGTACGCGCACCCGTTCGACCAGATCTACTACACACGCTGCACAGACATCCTGAACTGGTTCAAGTGCACCCGGCACCGGTGAGTACGGCTGTCTGGTCCTGGGCAGGGGGAGGTCAGGAGAGACCCTGGCAGGGGCCCGTCCACACCCTTGCTGCTTCGTCTACACACGAAATGCCAGGGCAGCCTGCGACAGGACCAGGAGGGCTGAGGACACCACAGTCGTGACAGCTGAGGAGTGGGTGGACCCCATGATCCCAGTGCGTAGAGCCCCTGGCCCGTGGTGGTGACCTGGGCAGAAGCACATCCAATCCTGGCTGCCTTCACTTCCCTCTCTCTTTGCCACTGCCCAGGGTCACCAAGGAGAGGGCTCATCTAGGGTGACTGCTTGTTAGAATCACCTCCCAAGTAAACTGCTCATCTTGGGTCCTTGAGTCCTTGTCTAGGGTCTGCAAAAGCCTAGAGAGCCACTGTCGGAGCAGTTGTGACTTGGTGCCTGAGCATCTGGCTCAGGGAGCAGAGAATTAGGCCGGAATTCGGCAACATCTTGGCACTTTGACTACCCGCCCTTAGCAGTGCTCAGCATGCGCAGTTCGACACGATAATCCTGCGCCTCTGTCTGAGCCTTCCTGCAATTTGTGATGGGCTTTCATGTCACAGGGCAGTAAGGAGAAAAGGAGTAGAGGATCCCTCGGAGGGGTGATCCTGGGAAAGTCACTTGATTTTGAGATTACCAGTGTACCCGTCAAATGTACCATAATCCGTGCTCTGCTTGAATGCAGGGTCCAGTGAGGGCAGGAATATGACAATCCCTTGAGAAACCACAGGGGAAGGAGGGAAAGAGGTGTGAGGTATTAGATACAGGCAAGGCAGCATTATTAAGGGAGAGGTGAGCAAGTGGCAGAAGAGTAACGAAGGAATAGGGTCAGGCCCCGGAGTGGCCCTTTTCCTTGCCATTACATATCTGTGTTGATTCCGAATCTCCCTTCTGCAGCTCCCTTCTGCATTCAGTCCCTCTCGGGGTTTAGGTGAGGGTCCTGGTGGGCAGCAGTGTGGACTTGGGAAGCTTGCTTTGTGCAGAAAGCCCAAGTCCTGGTTTTCTTTGATACATTGCTACTGATTTACTTTGAGACACAGGGTGTAGATGTTATGTCTGCTAATTCCGACCCCTGAGACATCTCAGGGTTGGTCTTCATTGGCTAGGGAACATTTCCCCCTTTCTTTGCAGGTCTAATAATTCTGGCTTGTATTCTGGATATCACAAATGACCTAGTATAGAGACTGGATTCTGTTAAATTCTCCTACAGAGCATTCATTTTTAGGAATTATTTGTTTTAGGAGTCAGTTGACCGGGCTAGCCTCACATCCTAGGCCCTGAGAGTTCAGTAGTTTTAGCCTTAACCAGACTGCTTGGAATCTGACCTCCACAGACATAACTCAGGGGCCCAAGTTTGGGCAGAGATTTGGCTAAAGAATCGGGGCTGGCTCTCTCCTTTCTGCGACTTCCCTTTGTATTTAATATCCGCTGGCTCCACCCTCGCCTTGCCTCGTGGGTCCTCCAACCAGGGAGGCTGTGTTTTCTGTCTGAATTGCAGCCACCCACAGTACTGTTGAGCTGCCTGCTCAGGACGTTCTTCCAAATGTCCCTGCCTTCCAGGGCCGGCCACTTCTGTTCTCTCGTTAGTGCCTTCACGGAGTTGCTTTTTCTGCTTCTCCAGATTTCACAGTTGTTAGCACAAGTTTGGGCCAGTAGTTGCTCCTCAGCCATAACCACGTCTCCTTCCTCTTGCCTTGGCTGTGAAGTGTGGACGTGGGACTGAATGATTACGGGACTGGGTGATCCTTCTTGACTTCCTCCCTATTGTCAGACTTGGCTGCCTGTGGCCCTGGTTCAGGGTAGAGGCAGAAATTGGAGTCCTGCTGCCCCACCCCCCGATCCCTGGCATCCATGGCCAGAGCCTGCTCTGCTCTGAGCTGTGGCCCTTGTGGGTACTCAGAGGCCATGGCTGCTGTCCATCCCCACTAGGGCTGGGTGAGTGGCTACTTTCCTGGAGCGTGGACTATTATGCTAAATTATTGGATCACTACGCAGCAGCTTTCCTGATGACCTGGGTGTACGTGCTGATGGCAGCACAAGCAGCTCTGGTGTGGCCTAGCTGGTCTTGCTCAGCATCCTTCTCCCAAGAGCAGCCCTTTCCTCATTCCCACACTGACAGCAAACACGACGGGGAGCCAAGGGCAGTGGGTGACATCTCTGTTCCAACAGCATTAGGCATGCGGAAGCCTCCCCGTTGGAGGGCAGGGGCCATCCTGATTGGTGGAGAGAATAGGCCAGATGACCTCTGACCTCTGAGCCAGTTGTGAACCATCCTTTAGCTCAGGAGTTCACACCAACCTGAAATTGCCCAGAGCTGCCTTCCTGTGCCAGGGGAGCAACTTCCTTGGTAGACCAGATCCCTCTCTATTATGAGCCTTTGACCAAGTGGAATGACCTTTGCTATGGCCTTCCCACGTATCACACATTCCTGGGTTGGCATTTGCCATGAAGCAAGGGCTTTAGGGAGCAGGAGGGCTGTCCTGCCTATGCTGGGGAACTCCCTTTCTCACTGGCCAGGTCCTCCCTGGGAGGCAGGTGTAGGCATCTGGTCTCTGCTGCTGGCTGCAGAGGAGGTAACCTAGGGCAGGCACCCTTGGGTGCTGACTCGGGGACCAGAAAGATCTTGTCTTCAAGACCCAGGACTGGGCTTGCCCCTCATTATACTCCATGACCTCGGGCCGTTTCTTCCTCTCTGGTCTCTGATGTTCACTTCGAATCTCTTACTCACTAACTGCTTGAGGCAACGGGGTTTTGCCCAACAAGACCCCATCTTGATTCCCATCTAAGGACTCAGTCTTTGCACTGTCCCTCGTCCCCTGGTCTCACTCCTTCCCTGTGGCCATCTGGAAGGCTAGAAGCCATGCTGTGAAACTCAATTTTCTCATCCAAGGGGTGGGGGCGGTGGGTGACACTAGATAAGAACATAGTCTCTAAAAAAGAAATAGAAGAAACGAAACAAGCAGGGCCTGCTCCTGGCTCCACCTTGGAAGTTGTAGACTAAATCTTGTCTTTGACTCAGTAGTAGCACAGGGCCGAGTCTTGACACTTGGGTCTGTGTCAGGACTAGAACCCAGGCCTCTGTCTCCCAGGCAGGGGAGGCACTGCTCTGTGGGCCCCCAAGGGCTCAGCTCAGGGCTTCCCAGGCTTCTCTGCAGGTGTTGCTTTGGTGGAGAAAGATTAATTCGGTGTTGTTTGTGGCTCAGGGCCCCTTTGCTGCCTCTGCCCTGTTCCCCAAGTGGTGGGTCCATCCCAGGGAGCCTGGCGTGGTCCCCTGGGTGGGGCAGGGTGGGGCAGCACAGTGCTCTTGCCATCGACTGCTGGAAGGGTTCCCATGGGCTCCTCAGACGAGAGCCTGAGGTCTCAAACGACTAAGAAGGGACCCACGGGGCCTCTGCAGTGTCACCCCACACAGGCGCCCCCCAGCCCTCCCATTCAGAGGAGCCCAGGGAAGTGAGCAGGCCCTGCAGATGTCGCGTCCCCAGCACGTTCCACCACGGCGTAATTCGGTGTTGTTTGTGGCTCAGGGCCCCTTTGCTGCCTCTGCCCTGTTCCCCAAGTGGTGGGTCCATCCCAGGGAGCCTGGCGTGGTCCCCTGGGTGGGGCAGGGTGGGGCAGCACAGTGCTCTTGCCATCGACTGCTGGAAGGGTTCCCATGGGCTCCTCAGACGAGAGCCTGAGGTCTCAAACGACTAAGAAGGGACCCACGGGGCCTCTGCAGTGTCACCCCACACAGGCGCCCCCCAGCCCTCCCATTCAGAGGAGCCCAGGGAAGTGAGCAGGCCCTGCAGATGTCGCGTCCCCAGCACGTTCCACACCACGGCGGCCCAGTCCCGCCATCGATCTCATTTATTGTGTTCCTTCATATTTGAGGCCGCCATGCATTTTAAAGTAATTATTGAATGGCATCCTCGATACAGCTTAACACAAATATCATTCTAAACGGGAGGGATTGATTTTCAATACTTTCAAGTGGCTTTCTCCTTTGTGCCTCAGGATCAGTTATAAGACGGCGTATCGGCGCGGCCTCAGGACCATGTACCGGCGCCGGTCCCAGTGCTGCCCCGGCTACTACGAGAATGGTGACTTCTGCATACGTACGTAGTGGAGGGCTGGTGCTCTGGCCTCCGCAGGGATGGGGTGGGGGCCAGCTCATCATTCAGGGCCCCGGGGTGGCAGGCCTCAGCCCACCCGGGACTACAGAAGTCTCCCCGTTGCCTCTGCTCAGAGGGCATAAACGATCAGCTCAGCCTCCTAACAGGAGGACAGGAGCAGGGCAGTCCTAGGCTTGATGGAGGCCGAGGACAGTGGAGGCTGAGGGCACTGAACGCCAGGCACAGGGCTAAGACCATGTGTCGTAGCTAGGCTCCCTTGATGGATAGCACACACAGTCCTTAAGAGGAGGCTGGCAAGGGCAAGAGAGGCCATGAGGGAAGGTCCCAGCAGGAGGGAGGTGGCTCCAAAAGAGACTGCAGAACAGTGAAGGAAAGATGGATGCATGAAAGGCCAACACTACCTCTTTCCCTCTTCATCTGTAACAGCCAAAGACGGCGTTAACAGTGTCCCCCAGGAAGGCAGGTGCTCAGTCGCTGGCAGCCTCAGGGGCCCTGGGGGCCAGCAGTGGGTGGTGCTCAAGATCGGCCTGCTCGAGAGGCTCTGGGAATCCTCTCAGCCTTCCCCAGAGGGACTTTCCAGGGGCTGCTGAACACTCCTTGGACTGCAGGTGCTTGTCCGAGAAGCTGTACAATGACCAAGGGAGTCCCCACCCCAGAGCAGCTGTCTTTTCCTTGTTGGCATTTTCCTAGCCATCTGGGGGGAAAGGGGTGTGGGGTGGGCAGAGGGCCAGGCCCAGGGAGGACCAGGAGAGGCTGGGTGTGAGTGTATTAGGGACAAAATGACAGTTTTCCTCTCCTGTTGTTCAATTGCCCTTTAATGCTGGAGAAACTCGATTCTAATCACATCACAAGAATGAATGAAAAATGCTCCTGCAAGTGGGTTCAATAGTGATGGGTTTGCAGGAAATATACAAAGAATCCCACACAAAGCAAATTCCAGAGGCTATTTCTTTTTTTGTTGTTTTGTTTTGTTTTTGTAGTAGGGATTGAACACAGGACCTTGCACTTACAGAGGCAGGCGGTGGCACCACTGAGCTACATCCCCACCCCAGAGGCTGTTTCTCAGTAGCAGAGCAGGGAACAGAGCTAGGACTTTGGGGTATCCCCGGGGACCAGGGTAGAAATGGGGTCGGTGCTAAGCTCTCGCTGCTCCGTGAGCACTAAGTAGGGCTGCCAGGTGGGCTGCAGGCTCATTAAACCTGAGCTGGGCCTGTCCAGCCCATGGCCCGGTGATGGACTCCAGAAATTATGCAGGAGTTGGGGCGTCAGCACCAGCTTCAGGACAGATGGGCCCATTCTAGTTCCCAGGAGCAGACACAGTAAGTGCTTGGAAAGTGAAGGCCAGGCAGAAGTGCTCTGTGTCCTGATTGCTGGGGCACAGTCTTGCTGACAGGGAGGACACTTCCTGACCTTGTGGCTCACTCCTTATATAACCATAACCTCAGGACACTTCTGCCAGGCAGGAGGCCACAGGCTGTCCCCCAGGAAGCCACCTGGAAAAGCCACTTTGAGAAGTGAGGCTTTTCCTACGCGGAGACAGCAGTGTTTCTGCAGCGACATAGGACATGGGGGCCCGGTGGTAGGAGCGACACAGGGCCACAGGCCTGGGGTTGAACTGCTGTGTTGATCCCAGCTTTCCCCTCTCCATCTTCATGGAGTTCTGGGCACTCCATGTGCCGGGGCCCAGTCCGGTCACTCTTCCTGCACTGCTGAATCTACTCCTCACAATGGCCCTGTGAGGAAGGCACCTTTCTTTCACTGTACAGATGGGGAAACTGAGCCTCGGAGAGATTCAGTAAGTCACTGAAGATCGCACAACTAGAAAGTGGCTCTGAGCCCGGGCCGCCTGGCTCCAAGGCTCTGCACTGCCTGCTGCTGAGACAGGCTGCTTCTTGCTGAGTGGGCCCGGGTGAGACTGGACCTCCTGGCCCCACTGCCTCCTCTCCCGTAGAACTGGGACAGTGACACCTGCGTCACGGGGCTCCATAAATGTCAGTTCCCCTTCCCTATGGCCTTGGTTCTGAATGATTTTCTTAGTCATGGCTTTTACTTTAATTGCTCAAATCGGTCCATGAATTCTTCCCCTGGGGGAAATGTACTCTACATATATAAAGTTGCACTATGGGATCCTTGGATCTTTGGTAAAGAATTTCTGCCGTGTGCCCATGCTTATCCATTCAGCATACTTTCGTGGTTTCCCACTGTGCAGGAGGCACGGAACAGCGACACAGGTGACAGGTGGCAGCTGCCTTTGAGAACTCACAGCCCATGTGAAGGAGGCAGTGCAGGGAGGGCATGAGTGTGCTGGGGAGCAGGAGGCTGCTGGGCGCTGGTGAGCTGGAAGGGAAGAGGAGGTCGGCTGGGGTAGCAGTACCAGCCGCCCAGGGCAGCCATAGCGGAGTCCAGCATGTTGGCGGCTTACGTGGTGACATATTTTCCCTGAGTTCTGCAGATCAGAGGTCCGAGATGAAGGCGTTGGCAGGGCAGCTCCCTTCTGTGGGCTGTGAAGGGTTCACATTGTCTGACCCAGGTCACCTTCCTGGCTTCTAGCAGCTTCTTACTTATGACAGCACAACCTCGACCTTCACTTGTGTGCATGCGTCTGTCTGTCTCCACTTGTCCTCTTTTAATAAGAACATAGGTCATGTCGGGATGAGCACCCCCGTAATGGCGTTGTGTTTACTTGATTACAGCCTGCAAGGCCTCGTCTCCAAATCAGCTCATGTTCTGAGGTCGCAGGGGTTAAGTCTTCAACCTTTGAATGCTGGTGAGGTGGAGTTCAGCCCATCACAGATGGGATCACCTGTCACCAGCAACTGCTCCCAGCTGCTTATTGTGATGTGTGGGGGTGGGGGGCTGGTTCTGCAGGCCCAGGGGTGGGGAACTTGTGAGAGGGAGATATGGGGGCAACTTGTCGACCTGGTGCCTGCAGCCTTCCCTCCCCATGGGGGTGAGGACAACTCTGGATTGCCCAGAACCAGACTAGAACCTCTCCCCCTGGTCATCTGCAGACACATCTGAGTCTGCCCCTTGCTGTCCCCTTTGTCACCAGAATCTGCTCTTCGGAAATATCAGCCTAATATCAGACAAGGGTTTGAGCTGGGTTATGCTGCAATAACAAACAAAGCCCAAATCCAAATGGCTTAAAATAGCAGAGTTTTATTCCTCGTTCATGTCTTGTGCCTGTCATAGGCTAGCTGGGGCCTGTTCCTTACCAACCTCACTGTGGGACCACAGCTGAAGGGCACAAGTCTCTGGCATGCTGGGGAGAAAGACTGGAGTGGTGTAGGGCGGGCTTTAAGTGTCTGACACACCCAGCGGGCAGTGTTAAAGCATATCACAGGCCCCGTTGGATGTCCCGGTACTCCTGGCCCACAGCCCTAATGCCTTCTCTCACACATAGTAAGAGGAGCTGGACCTAGGGACAGTACTGTCGCCAGGGGGTTGCAAACTGGATGGCACCCAGTTGGGATCACCTGGAGGGCTGGTTACCTAGCAGTCTGAGGATTCTCATTTCCAACAAGTTTACCGTGTGCGTGGCTTTCCAGGGACACCTGGAGCGTCACGGTGAGAAAGCCCAGGCTACTTTACGCTAAGGGGCAGTTTCCTGGTGTGGGTGCAAGCAGAGCGGCCCACAGGTGCGTGCCCTTGGCGCTCAGGGCTTCTGCTCTTGCGCAGCAGGGAGGGGCTTCTACCTTCCACCACCCTTCTGTCTCGTTTCCCAAGGAGAAGTTCATGCTGCCAAACCTCCAGGGCTGTCTTCTGACTCTTCCAGTGGCCGCTAGGACTGTGGCGTGGTTCTTACCAGCATCCAGGTGCCGAGGAGCTAACCAGAACCCCCAGGCAGGTTGAGGTGATGGGTAGCCCGGCCAGGACCTGGGGTGCGGTCAAGTTGGCCCCAGAGACCAGTTGTGCCCGCTTAGGGGCAGTCAGCAGGGCAGGGCCTGGGAGATGGGGTGAGGAGAGGGAATCTGGGGATGCGTGATATTTAAACCCAGTGAGCTCCTCCACCAGTGTTGGGATTCAGGTACTGTGTTTTAATATTGCTCTATACACTCGATTACTGCTTAAATTTAAATTTAGTTTGTTTACTAATTTCTTTACTTACCGTCAGTCCTTGAAGCTCGCCTTCTGGGCTCAGCTTGCTGCTTCTCAAGAGTCTGTAGTCGTTCTTGCAGGGACGCTCTGTGAGGGATCAACTCTGTACTTTATTCATCTGGAAACAGCACGCATTTGCCTTGCTGTCCAGTGCTGGTTTAGCTGCCTGTGACATTCGAGGATTTTTGTTGTTGTTGCCACTGGAAGCATGTTTAGAGATTGAATACCCATAGGAAATAAAGCATAAGAGACAGGAAAAAAAAGTTCAAAAAGGAAATAGAAGAAGAGCAACACATTTGACTATTTTTATATAAAACATTAGGAAAGATATTTTTCCTGCACAAATCAGTGCTTTGAGTAATTTGGGGCTCTTTGTATTTTTTCATCTTTCTTTTTTTCGTTCATATATGTTTGTGATATGTAATGATGATACTTGTTTTGGGGAACCGTGCCCATATATGTGAGATCTTCATCATTTTTGTTCCTTGGAGGATTTTAGACGTTTGGAGTTTTTCTGTTTGTTTGTTTTTTTTTTCAAAGGACACCGTGGTCCTTCTCTGAGCTTCACATCTTCAAACTAAAGACTCATGTCCTTCAGCAGTTCTGGAAAACTCTCAACTGTATCTCTTCCAAAATCTCTCCTCCGTTCTCTGACTCCGTTTCCATTGACCTCCAGCACATTGGATGCACTCACCCGATCCTCTGCCCCCCCCACCAATTTCTCATTTTTCACCTCTTATCTTCATGCTGCGTCTTGAGCAAGGTCCTCAGATCCATTTTTCAGATCCCAGCGCTCTGCTAATTAACCTGTCTGTTGAGATCTTAATTTCAGTGACTTTGTGTTTCCTTTCTAGGTGTTTTATTGATTCTTTTGGAGATGTGCA